GCATATGCCTCAGGCCACTTGGTGAAATAATCCATCACCACACAAATGTACCTCTTTCCAGCACTAGTTTGGGGCAAAGGACCAGCAATGTCAAAGGCTACTCTTTCCATTGGTGTGCCAACTTGATATAACTTCATTGGAGCATGTCCCTTATGCTTGGGTCTCCTTTTAGCACAACATGTACTGCAGGTTCTGCACCATTCTTCCACATCTTGTCTCATATCTGTTCAGTAAAATCTCTGCCGTAGGTGACTCAATGTCTTCTTAACTCCAAGATATCCTCCTGTTAAACTATCATGGGATTGACGCAGCACAACTTCCCGTAACTTTCTCGGTATAAATGTTTGCAGTTTCCCATCTCCAGACAATAATACCATCTTCAAGTTTCAACTGGTCCCATTGTGATCAATAGTTCTTTGTCACAGGGCTTAAGCTAGACACCTTCTCTCAAGTAGGGCACAAAACACTTGCTTGTAGAAAATCAATTATTGGCTTCAAATCTTGGTCTTTCTCCTGCTCTGATTTAATATCTCTACCTGGTTCCACTTCACCGTCATCAACTCCTTCAGTCACTTTGACTTCAGCTTCATGGCACCTGGTTAGTTCAACCTCTTTTACAGCAATGTCTGCAGTCATTTTTGCAGGGTCTTTGGCTCAGTCCGTCAGCATTTCCATGAGATTTAACAGATGCAGCAACACTTACCGGAAGTTGGCCTTTGTTGTTTCCAAATGTCATTTTATTAAAGTTAACAACACACTTACTCGGTAGTAAGTAGTCCAACCTTAATATGCATGGGTCTTCAATGTCAGTCAAGTATACTTTGTGTCTGTCCTTTATGCCCATAAGCTCAATAGTTACCCACACTGGTCCCCACAACCTTGTATAATGTCCTGTCACATCACAGAGCTTCTGTATGGCTTCTGGTACTCCTTTGTGATCTAGCACCTTGATACTCACAAGGGTTTGCTGAGATGCAAAAATCTATGACAAAGTTGCACTTTTAGCCATCCAGCTCTCCTGTCATGTAGATATTATGGGTGCTTGCCATTTTACACTTAGCTGTTGGGACTTTCACGATGTGGTTGGTGGGTGTCCCTCAACACCAACCACTAATGGTTTCCCCGAGGCTGACTTATTAGTAGTATTTTCCCCTTCATATTTCTTTGCTCTCTACAGTTCCAACAACCTTTCTGGGTAGCAGTGTTTCCTGCCGTGGTATCTTTCCTGTGTTGAAGTTGCCGGCATTGAGCTCTCTTGTGCCCAGGTTTGTTACAGTGCCAGCAAAGTCCCTCAAACTTCTCTGAAAGTTACCCTCTTCTGGCCTTGAATCCTAATGACTGTACCAACCTTGGTACCTCTGTGCTGGACTTAATGTAGCATTCGAATTCAAGAGCTCTGGCCATTGCATCCTGCATAGTAGAGAGGTGTGCTTGCTTTACTTGTATCTTCAGTTGTGGACTGTTCAAGGTATCTTCACACTGATCCCTTAGCAACAGCTTGAGGACATTGGGTGGTGCAGTTGAGTAGGCCTTGCCATACTTTCCAAATCCTGTTCCAGCTCTTGCAGGATCTCCCCTTTAGCATGGACTCTCGTCCTAAACCTAGCCCTGTAGACTTTGGACTGATTTTGAGTTCCATACCTGATTTGTAGAGCAGCTACCAGTGCTTTATAGTTGTGCCTGTTGTCTGCTGACATATGTCCAAGTATTCCCTTCAGGATCGTTGCCAGGTACACTGCTTTCTGCTCCTCTGTCGATCCATTCATTTCTGCCAGGAGCTCAAATTGTGCTCTATATGCTTCCCACGGTGCTTTCCCATCATATTCCTGTGGCTTCCTTCGTACTGGATCACTCCTATTACTAACATTCATATCTCGGATGTGACTTCTAACAAGACTGAAGATGTTTGCATTAGGGTTTAGTTGCAGGGTCTGGAAGGGGCTTCCTATTGCCTGGAGATGATTAGATCCATGGTTAATATATCCTTCATGTGTAAAAGACAGTAAATCGTCCTTTAATGTATTTAATTCACTTTGAAATTTACTAATCTTTTCCATTTGTGTATGCTGGCTTTCTCACAACTGTTGGAGCCTTTCTTCTTGTTTTTTTTCTCATTCATCTTATTCCAGTTGCTGCTGGTGCTGGTTTTCTTGCTACTGCTGTAGTCTCTCTTTTTGTTTATTTTCTCGTTCTTCTTGTTTCTTTTCTTGTTCCAGTTGCCACTGGTGCTGGTTTTCTTGCTACTGCTGTAGTCTCTCTTTTTGTTTATTTTCTCGTTCTTCTTGTTTCTTTTGTCATTCTTGTATGGCTGCCATCAAATCTACTAACCTGTAGTTTGATTTGCCACTTCTCGTTTCCATCTTCTTCTTTTTTTTTCTCTCTTTTCCGTCCCACTCTCTGACACCAATGTTACATATCTGCTTGTTTGTTAATTTCCGGTAGCAATTCTTTCA